ACAACAATACTAGGGGAAGGATTGTCCAAGTGTGGTGCTCACCATCCCCTCCTACTCCAAATCCTGCACATTTCTTCTCTTAAACACTACAAGTACTCAAGAAATCATTATAGTATATAAGCTCAATTTTGGCCAGTTATTCTGTACAATATTTTTAATCCATCATACAATCCAATGAATTGCAGCTGATCCATCCAGAGCAATGATTGCTGCAATGCTCATCATAAAGGTACTGAATTTCATTCACATTTCCCTTTTGAAATAAGTTTTTATTTGGGACAGCAGTATTATTTATTTATGTTACATTTTTTATTTTAAAATGTTTATGTTATTATTTTTTTCCTTAGCTATATTACACCTAGTCTTTTGCATCGATACCGTTTGAGGACAAAAACATTATCTAAAATGAAGCAGAAGCAAGCTTAGCTGGCATCCAGAAGCCACAGTGTACTTACCAATATCATGAATTGGCTGCTTTACTCCTATTTCATTATTTACAGTCATTACAGAAACCAAACTTGTATCAGGCTGGAATGCAGCCTCCAGCTCCTGATGAAAGATTCAGAAGGACAAGAGTTGTGACTAACAGAAGGAGGATTCCTGTGTACATCTTCAATTTACCAGCAACTCAACCACCAGTCCCTTATTTGCAACAAACACCTGGGGTTCTGACAAACAGCCCTGGGGAAAACACTAACCCACATGAATATTAAATGCCTGTAGGAAGAGGAGAGAATCAATTGTGTTTCTGCAGGTCCTAACCTTTCAATGCACCTGGCACCCCAATTGATTAAATCAAATCTCAACAGGTTTTGCTATAGCCCGTAAATTCTCTGAACTATTTTCTTTACTGAATTAACCACCCACAGTACAACTAAAGCCTCTTCTGGCCAAGGTGAGGCAGGCTGTAAAGGAACTGCTCTTTATACCAAGTCATATCACACCTGCAGCAACACGCTCAGAAAACACAACTCATTACTGTGCCACAGGCTGACCCTCAGTCCCATCACACACACTACCGCACTCCATGGCAGGTGAGGGACTGGCAATAAAGCTGTTGCTGCCCTGTGCTACAGGACGTCAACGATGAACTGAAAACATAAAACTTCTACGTTTTAGGGCTGCAGCCAGTACATACAGAAGGGCTGGCTCATGGACAGCCATAGGAAGTACTGTAATCACTGAAACAATGCCTCAAATACTGGGCTCCTTAGAGGGTACTCAACAGCTCCACCTGCACAGCAGCAGCTGAACGGTGGGACAGGAGGTGGATGTTCTGGTTGAGAAAAAGTGTAGGATGTTAGACAGAATAGAAAATCCTTCTCCAGATCTGACAGATTTGACTGTGATTCTCATTCTACTTGTGATATTTATTATCCTTTCCTCTTTTTCATCTAGAGGACACAAGCTTTTGAGCATCAATTTGAAGCAAAAACCTCTTCTTTTTTTAGTTTCTTTCTCTCAGTAACAACTTACCTTCAGGTCTATGAGCCCATTTTTTTTAACAGGTAGATATGTGATGTGAAAACCTTCTGTTTCCAGGGAACGACAAGAATCCAACACACACTTGTGCTCTGTTTGCGTAGTAATGATATGCTTTTTTCTGGATTTATAGAACCTTGCAACACCCTGTCAGGCACAGTCCATGAAAAAGAAATTGGCCATTGAAGAAAGCAGGCATTACACAGTGTGATTGGATATAAGAAATTACTACTTAGATATAGTTAATTTGGATCTTTCCTGTTTGACCCAAGTCGTGAAGGTACTAAAAGGTACCGGCACATAATCCACACTACCTATCTCCATCAGCACCTGCTTTTCAAAGCATCTTACTTCTCAGAAACTCTGTGAAAATGTTTACTGTGGTTAAGGTGTAGAAGCCATTAACCAAAGCATTTTTTTGAAAACTTTTGCACTGAAGTGATAAACACTGAGAAGTTTAGTCTTCATCAGAAAAAAAGTTTCTAATCCACATGTCCACTATATTTTACAATAAATATTTTAATTACATAAGCAGAAGGAGTGTATTTAGTGCGTGTGAGATAAACATCAAATATTTTACACTGCCCTCCAAATGATGTCGCAGGCACCAAAACATTCATCCACGTATTTCCTCCACATATGTAACAGAGTATCACAAAAAGCAACTCCAGAAACGCAAATATGTTATACTCCAACATATTAACATTTAAATTGTTGAGAGATGCATACAGTTCTTAAATACAAAATTTTAACATAACAAATAAGAATCAGTATAAACTTTTTACCTTAATTGCCATATTATTGGATTCTGTTGCACCACTGGTAAATATAATTTCCCGTGAATCAGCTCCTATTAAATTTGCAACTTGCTGTTTAAAAAGAAATACATATTTGACTTGTTAAGAAAACATACAATAAATTCATTACAGCAAAATACATGTGAATGTTTTCAAGAATACTCCCTTGAGCTTCAAAGGTTTACAGCTGGTACCTAACAAAGTTATGCTAAAAATAATCTAACTATCTGAATTATAAAATACACAAGGAATCCACAGTCATTAGAAGCAGTATTAAGCATTAACCTGTTATAACAGAGATAAAAGCTTAAGGAGACAAAAATCCATTACATATTACTTCAAAAAAATTACAAACATCCTTGCCTAAGATTAGAAGAATGACAAGACATGGAGTTAGTCCAATGACTGCAGCAATATGCTTGTGACTCCAGGAAACCAATAATACTGCGGCACTTTTACTTAAAGTATTGTTTTCTGCCATTTCAGTTGCTCTAATCTCCCTGTTGGAACAAGTGCCGGCTTCTGCACTGGGACTGGAGAACCCTGGGAGTCCAGACAGACTGGGGAACAAGAGGCTGGATAGCAGCAGCACAGAAAGAGACCTGCAAGTCTGAGCTGAGGGCAAGTGGAACAGGAGGCAGCAGTGCCCTGGCAGCCCCAAGGGCCAGCCTGTCCTGGGGGACATCAGGCCCAGCATTGCCAGCCGAGCAAGGGGGTGACTGTCCTGCTCTGCTCTGCACTGGGGAGGCCTCACCTCGAGTCCTGGGGGCAGTTTGGGGTAAATCTATATAAGGATAAGAAATTATCAGAGAACATCCAGGGGAGGGCCATGAAATGGTTAAGGGCCTAGAGGAGAGCCTGTAAAACAAACAGCCGAGGTCACTTGGTTCTCTCAGTCTGAAAGAGAGGAAACTAAGGTCAGACCTCACTGGGGGCTGCAACTTCTTCATGAGGGGCATCAGAGAGGCAGCTCTCTGCTCTGGTGACCAATGACAGGGCTTGAGAAAAGAGAGCTGTGTTGAGGAAGTGTAGGCTGGATATTAGGAAAAAAGTTTTTTACCCAGAGGGTGGTCAGGCACTGGAACAGGCTCCCCAAGGAAGTCTTAAGCCTGCCATAGTTCAAGGAGTGTTTGGACAACGCTCTCAGGTATATGGTGGGATTGTTGGGGTATCCTGTGCAGGGCCAGGGTTGGACTTGATGACCCTTGTTGATCTCTTCCAACTTGAAGTATTCCATGAGTCTATCTTTTCCTGCAATAAATCTACTAAAGTACAGCTAAGCAAAGAGAAAGCTGCTAAATCTAGCCCACAGAGAACAGAGGTTTTTTCCTTCCTTTTTTCGTTAGGTTCTTTTGACCCTGATTTTCCTCAGCAGCAGGAAAACCAACACGACCATGGAGAGTCCAAGACTCACCCGCCTCGCTTTCTCCATGGCAGCCTCGCTCTCCCAGCCGTAGGCGTGGGTCCTGGAGTGGGGGTTGCCATAGTAGGCTGTCAGGTATGGGAGCATGCTGTCCAGGACTCTGGGATCCTGTGGAACACAAACCACCCAGCCTTAGAAAAGGAGAAGGGAAACCATACCACTTCTCTCTGGAGATGCCCCCTTGCCACAGTATCAGCAGCACTTCTGTGGCAGTGTCTTGCTTTAGCTTAGGCGTGACCTTGAAAACTTGAAGCCATCACATGTTACGTGTAACACAAGTCTTTGGCAGTTGTGTTCTGTGCACGTAACCCTGATCTGCGCTGAAGGTCAAAGAAGAACAACATCATTTGAGAAAACAGAATCACAGATCAGCTTGGGTTGGAAAATATTTTAAAGCTTATCTTGCTCCACGCCCCTGCCATGGATAGGGACACACCTTCCAGTAGATCAGGTCGCTCCAAGCCCCATCTAACCTGCCCTTTCTTCTGAGTAGAAAAAAATACAAGGTCTTAAAATGTTAAGAAAAACGTCAGATCAGTATTTTGGCTGAATTCACTTCGTGCTTCTCTCAACTGTCTCCATTCCCGCAGGGGTCGGTGCGAGCCCCTTCGCGGCTCCGCCACGCTCCTGCCCTGCGGCACTGGGGGTGCCCATCCAGGGGGCTGCCCCGGCACAGCTACAGCCCTTCGCCCTGTGGCGACAGGAACAGCCTATGTCGCTACAGGCGGCGCCGAACGCCGCCTCAGTCACCCACGGCAGCTCGGGACACGCGCGACCGCTCCGGCGAGAGAGCTGCGAGTGTGGGGACCACGATCCGCTTCCCGTGCTCGGTACGGCCCTTACCAGCGGGGTGGTGGCCTGCACATCCATGTAAAGCGGCCGAGAAGCACCGCTGCCATCGCTGGTTTGCCCTAAGGGGAGAAGAGAGAGGAAACTGATGTCAGGGGCCGGCAGGAGCGGGGGAGCTGTCCCTTCCCGGACAAGGGCTCTGCCCGACCGCGGCCTTACCCGGTCCCGGTCCCGGTCCCGCTCCTGGTCCTGGTCCCGGTCCCGGTCCCGATGCAGGTCTAGGTCCCGGTCCCGGTCCCGGTCCCCCGCCTCGGAGCCGCCGCGGAGCTCGCTCGCCCCTCAGGGCCGCCAAGCGCCGCCACAGCAGCATAGCGCCCGACGCACGGAGCGCGGCCGTACCCGCCTCTTCCAGTACGTCACGGCGCGCGCCGGAAGCGGGGCCCAGACAGGCGGAGGCGCGGTGCGGCCTAGCGAGGTACGGGCGGGGCGGGGGCCCGGGAACGGGAACAGGAACAGGGGGGGCCGGGGTGCTCGTAAGGTGAAGCGCGCGCTGAGGACCCCGGTTCGCCTCGGGGAGCTCTTGCGCCTCAGAACGGCGATGGCCGCGGTTCCCGAGGAGTCCGCGGCCTGAGTCTCTGCGCTAAGTCCTCGGCCTGGCCTCGGTCTCCGTAAGGGCGGGTTCGCTGCCCGCTCCTCTGCCTCCGAAGCCAGCGGCAGCCGGGTAGGTCGGGCCAGCAGCGGAGGCTCGGTCAGGTGCTGCGTGTGCTGCTCACCAGGCACTGGGAGCACACAGGGTGAGGCCTCGGCAGCCACAGCGGCGCCCGCAGGAGATTGTTGAGGGAAAACGGGGTCGTCGTTCTCTCATTGTTCTTCCTACTTGACAGGCAAAGAAACCTGGGAGCCAGCACAACCTCCAGCGCTGCACACGCGAGAAGCTCTGAGCTGCACGGCCTGGCCTGCTAGCCGAGTTTGGTTATAGGAGTATGTTAGACAAAGCAGTAAATCGATGTGTGTATTGTTGCTTTCTTTTTTAGATGCCTGTGACCGTGGGCCCATATGGGCAGTCGCAGCCCAGCTGCTTTGACAGAATAAAGATGGGTTTCATGATGGGCTTTGCAGTGGGCATGGCTGCAGGAGCGCTGTTCGGCACATTTTCCTGCCTCAGGTACGCCAAGGAAATGGCTTCCACAGACAAGTGGTGACAGGGAGATGGCCAGAGAGAAATGGTCATGCTGTGGGGTTGGGAAGGGATTGGGTCTGGTCGCATGAGTGGAACTTTGTGACTCCCAGCTACTGCAGTAAGCCCCTGGCCTACAACATGTGAGTCTGGTGCTGGTAGGGCATCACCTTTGCATGCCCTGCGTGCCAGGAGGTCACAGTGTCACAGACCTTTTCTTGCCTCTTGTAAGGGAGGTTCACCAGGCTGTGGAGGATCACCTCCAGGAGGAACCAGATGAATTGTCTATGCAGATACATGTGCAGCCCTCTCCTGGCCCTAAATCTTCCTGAGGTGCTCTGTAAGCTCTCAGTGTCTGCATCGTGGTCCCTTTGTGTGTCCCGTGCCCTGCACAGAGGCAGTTACCAAACTGCCCCTGAGTCTGAATGGCAGGAGTGTGGGTAGACCCATGGCTGGCATTGGCACAGCCCCACTGTGCAATGGAGAGGAACAATATTCCACCTTCCCCTGGGACTCAGCATGCTGACATGAAAACAAGCTGTGTTTGTTGCTCTGTGTTTGCTCTGGTACTGTTGACTGGCTTTGCACGTCATCTCTGACAAAGAATCACTGAAGTCTGCTCTTTCATGCTTTGCAGAACTCTTTCTGTGTGATGGGTTTTACCTGTGATTAAACATGGGGGATGATTTTGTAGTGAGGTGAAGGAGGAAAAGGCACAAATCTTAATCCAATGGGAGTTTGAAGTTTTCTAATCTCTCTCAATTCCCAGAGGGTAAGCAGCATGATGCTGGCAGAAGATACATATTAAGGGCCTTTAGAAGAACCAGTGAGAGTGGTTCTGTTATACTTGAATGACACAGCTACAGTACTGCTGTTCCATTTTTGAGGGAAAATCTCATGTTTTAAGAAGCAAGTGCATGAAATTCCTTAGACCATAAAGTCACTGCAGTGTTTAAAAGCCAAATATTACAAGAGCTTCTTGAGACAGAACAATTCCTTTTGTTTTACTCTGACCTCAGATAATTGAAAAATGGAGAACAGAAATACCTTTTGAAGTTTCTAGGACTTTCAGGTATCCCATATTAAAAACAGAGTCAGTAGTAAATAGAAAGTTAATTTTAAATTGGTGATATTAAAAAGACTGCCACTGCAGCTAGAGAGGATGGCAGTACAACAGCTCAGACAACTCTTTTTGTACTCTGGCAAGTGAAATACTTGGACAGCATTTTTTTTCCCTCTATTAAGGGTATTTGGGAGACTAGGATGCAAAGCTGTTCCTGCTAAAGGTGTGTGGCAGGAAGGTTCCACTGCAGGAAAAAATACACATGGGCCATGTGAGGTGAGAGCCGCCCAAGAGCCCCTGCAGTAGCACAGGGCACTGCAGCCGGTCTCTGGAGAGGCAGCTGTACAATTGCACACATTTAGACTGGAGAAGTGTTCAGTTTGCAACCATGAGCTGATTGTCTCAGATGTTTTCTGCTGCATGTCTGTGATCTGTCAAGTTTCAGCTTTTATATAATCCCTGTGGTTTTATTTATCTCAGGATTGGCATGAGAGGACGAGAGCTGATGGGTGGAGTTGGCAAAACGATGATGCAAAGCGGTGGGACGTTTGGGACATTCATGGCCATTGGTATGGGAATACGCTGCTAATCTGGAGTTTGAGATTTATCCCAGAGTGCCCCCGCCCAGCCATTCCTCTGCTGTACAATAATAAAATCTTTAGATACCTGGAAGTGAGAGCTCTTAATGAAACACCAGAGTCCTACCCTCTGTGCTCTGCTGATTGCAAGCATGTGTTTTACAAAATTTCTACTTTCTTCCCATCTCTTTCTCCCAAAACAATGAGAATAACCATTTTTATTACACTGAAGTTCCTGGTTTACAGATACAAGTACACCACACAAGTTTCTCCCTTTGGCACTTGGGCAGCTCGCGTTGCCGATGTGGATGTGGAGCTGCTTTGTTCTGTCTTGCATTCCTGAGTCTAGGAAAGTTAGATGGTGGGTACTTCAGATGAATTATCAAATTTCTGTCCTCTTGCAAAAATAGGTGTGTTGAAGCTGGTCCCATTTCTGAGTTTCAAGTGTCATGGGGCAGATGCCCTCAGGGACCCCAGGATTCAGGCAGCTCCCACAAGAGCTGTTCTCCCAGAAACAAAGCCTTTTCTTTCATTCTGGTTTAACAGGCTGTCCTGGTTTAGGACAAATTAGAGG